AGTGGGAAATCCCCGCAACTAGGAAGGAAACAGAAGTCAAGGGGTGCCCCCCGCCCCCATCAGTGGCACAGCCTGTGAGAATGTGAAATATACATTTGGTTTTCATCCCCATTTCCTGGCATGCAACTCCTAAAATCCTTGGAATCTCCAAAGTGATAAGTGTCTTTTTGTATGCTGATGATTGCCTGATGGCCGTCTGCCCCTAGGCAGCTTCAGGATTGGGCTGGTCATCAGAAAGACCAGGGCGGGATTAGAGGGTTGGGAGTTTCAGCCCCACCCTATGATCTCGGGGGAGGGGAGGGAGCTGAAAGTTAAGTTGATGGCCAATGGTTAATCAATCATGCCTACATAATGGATTCTCCATAAATGGCCCAAAAGCAGAGGGTTCTAAGAGCTTCCGGATAGCTAAGCACGTGGAGATCACTGGAGGGTGGCTTGCCCTGAGAGGGAAGCTCCATGTCCCTTCCCCCACATATCCTTTTCTAAGGGAGTGATAAAAGTGTTTCCCTGAGTTCTGTAACTCGCTTTAGCAAATTAATCAAACCCAGAGAGGGTGGTCTTGGGAACCCCAACTTAAAGCCAGTCGGTCAGAAGTTCCGGAGGCCCAGACTTGTGACGGTCTGAAGGGGTTGTCAGTTTTGGGACTGAGCCCTCAACCTGTGGGATCTGAGGCTGCCTCCAGGTAGATAGCTTCAGAATTAAATTAGAGGACACCCAGCTAGTGTCCGATGTAGAATTGATTGCTTGTTTGTTGATGGGGAGAAATCCCTGCATTTAGTCACAGAAGTCTTCTCTCTGTGTTAATTGTTGCTGTTTAGAGAACAGGAAAAAGCAGTTGGAGTTTTTCCACCCACACCCTGCTATATGAGGGCAGGTTTCTTGGGCAGGAAGCAAGTCCTGGTCGCCTAAGGGTAAGCTCTCTACTTTTCTCATTTCTTTATTCATTCCCTTGCCCCTTTCCATGTGCTGGGTTTCTCTCTCTCTCTCTCTCTCTGTGTTGTTTTTTCTGTTTTGTTTTGTTTTGAGCTGGAGTCTCACTCTGTTACCCAGCCTGGGTTTCAATGGCATGGTTGAAACTCACGCTCTCTGCTCACTGCACGCTCTCTGCTCACTATCTCCGCTCACTGCACGCTGTCTGCTCACTATCTCCGCTCACTGCAACCTCTGCCCCCCGGGGCTCAAGTAATCTTCCCACTTCAGCCTCTCGAGTACCTGGGACCACAGACACGCACCACCATGCCTGGTTAGTTTTTTGTATTTTGGGTAGAGATAGGTCTCACCCTGTTGCCCAGGCTGGTTTCGAACTCCTGATTTCAAGTGATTCGCCCACCTCAGCCTCCCAAAGTGCCGGGATTACAGGTGCGAGCCACCGTATATGGCCCTCCCTGTGCTTCTTTGCCTCAAATCCTGAAGCTATCTGAGGACACAGTCTTTCCTGGCCTTTGCTTTGCAGGTCCAATTCCTTGAGAGGATGATGCTGAGGGGAAGGAGAGGCAGAGAGAAGGAGGGTTCCGTAGACTGGGGAGGGTCAAGTGGTCAAAGGGTCCCCTGGGAGCACCGCAGGGAGGTGGCAGGGGCCTGCAGGGCCTGGCATGAGGTACCTGGAGAATCTCAGAAAGCCTCCCACCCCATCCCAGGGCCCAGGCTGAGTTACTGCCTACGGATGGTGATCAGGGCAGGCCCTGAAGATGAGGGTGGCTCCTATAAGCCTCACTCTCATGGGACCCTGGGGATTGAGGAGCCCCCTGTCTGACTGAGATAGGGTTTCCCTACACCCCTTGGGATACAGGCTCAAAGTTAAGTTAAATTAGGTGTCAAGAAAAGAAAGAACCACCAGGTTTCTTGTACACCTCATAAAATAACCCACTATTGTGATCTGGTGTGCAGGTCAGGAATGTCTGGAGCTCCCCCACCATATGGAACTCACCTGTCTGCTTCTGGGGCCCTTCTAGGGAGCATCTTCACAATGAGAAGGGATTGCTAAGGAGAGGACTTCCTGGTGCCCAGGTAGTCTCATGAGAAAGACATCTTATATAGCAGAACAGATGCATATGAGACCAGAAAAAGCTGTGATCAGCTCCCGGGGAAGGGGAAGGGGCTGGGTGAGTGGGATGCCTCAGTCATGTGTGGAGGGTGGGGTCAGAGAGAGGAGTCCCAGGTGAGGATGCAGAAGATAACTACATCACCGGACCCTCAGACATCCTCAGCAACCCCACCTTGGGGGATGATGGGAGAGTCATCCTGGGCAGAATCACTAAGCCGTCTTGCAACCTAATGAAACATTCGGCCTCTTGCCAGTGGCCACAGGACTTGCGTGGGAGACCAAGGTCAACCAGCCCCATGCCCACCTTTAGGTCTGGACTGAGTTGGGGGAGGAGGTAGCAGAATGCAGAGGTCCTGCCCCTGGCAGCTATGCTCGGTGTCTGGTGGTGGCTGCAAAGGTCTTCCTGGCCTGACTGCTCCCAGCTCTACTGCCAGTGGCTCTAGCCTTTCTGATTGCTGTTTGTTTCCAAGGCTAGTTTTCTGGGCTTCGTATCAGTTCTTTGAGATAGCTGTCATTATCTTCCTTTCCTGCTTCAATTATCCGGAGTCAATTTCTCCTCTTTCTGTCCAAGAACTCCAAAGAGGCAGAGCTGTTAGAGAATACGAGATAGTGCTATCTGGGTTGAACTGGGTGGTCCCCAAACCGTGTGTTCAGTGAAGGAAAGAGTGAAAGAAGAAAGTGCAACCAGATTATAACTGCCCTGAGGGCAGGGCCCCAGTGTGACCTGCTCACAGATGGACCTGGGAGAAGGGATGTGTTGTATGGGGAAATTGGGAACATCTGAAATATAAATGGCACCACATTTAAAGACCCCCATGGTTGCCCACTTGTTGTGGGGTAGGGGAAGGAGGTGTCACTCTGGTGGGCTTGTTTTCTGCTCCTAAGAGTGTCTTCTGTTTGGAACAGAGAAAAGAGATTGTGCCACAGAAAAACAATTGACTCAGCCAGGTATGTTGGGAGGTTGAGGTGGGCGGATCACAAGGTCAGGAGATCGAGACCATCCTGGCCAACATGGTGAAACCCCACCTCTACTAAAAATACAAAAATTGGCCGGGCGCGGTGGCTCAAGCCTGTAACCCCAGCACTTTGGGAGGCCGAGACGGGCGGATCACGAGGTCAGGAGATCGAGACCATCCTGGCTAACACGGTGAAACCCCATCTCTACTAAAAAAAAAATACAAAAAACTAGCCGGGCGAGGTGGCGGGCGCCTGTAGTCCCAGCTACTCGGGAGGCTGAGGCAGGAGAATGGCGTGAACCCGGGAGGCGGAGCTTGCAGTGAGCTGAGATCCGGCCACTGCACTCCAGCCTGGGCGACAGAGCGAGACTCCGTCTCAAAAAAAAAAAAAAAAAACAAAAATTAGCTGGGTGTGGTGGCACGTGCCTGTAATCCCAGCTACTCGGGAGGCTGAGGCAGGAGAATCGCTTGAACCAAGGAGGCAGAGGTTGTGGTGAGCTGAGATCACGCCACTGCACTCCAGCACTCCAGCCTGGCAACAGAGCGAGACTCCCTCTCAAAAAAAAAAAAAAAAAAAAAGACTCCTCAAGGTCAGGGAGGGTAGCACCACCATTCCTGGCTAATTTTTGTAGAGACAGGGTTTCACCATGTTGGCCAGGCTGGTCTTGAACTACTGACCTCAAGCCTCTGGAGTCCCTCCTGGACAGGGACTACAGGTGCACCACTGTGCCTGGCAAATTTTTGTTTTTTGGTAGAGGGCTTCATGATGTTGCCCAGTCTGGTCTCGAACTCCTGGGCTCAAGCAATCCACCTGCCTTGGCCTCCCAATATGCTGGGCTTACAGGCATGAGCCACTGTATCTGACCATCTTTTTTTTTTTTTTTTTTTTTTTTTTTTTTTTTTTTTTTTGAGACGGAGTCTCTCTCTGTTGCTCAGGCTGGAGTGCAGTGGCGCCATCTCAGCTCACTGCAAGCTCCGCCTCCTGGGTTCACACCACTCTCCTGCCTCAGCCTCCAGGGTAGCTGGGACTAAGGCACCCACCACCATGCCTGGCTAATTTTTTTGTATTTTTAGTAGAGACAGGGTTTCACGTGTTATCCACGATGGTCTCGATCTCTGACCTTGTGATCCGCCCACCTCAGCCTCCCAAAGTGCTGGGATTACAGGCGTGAGCCACTGCGCCCGGCCCTGACCATCTTTTTTATGAATCTGACACCTGTAGCTGCCAATGTGTGCCTCCACCATAACCTGTGTTTACCACCCAGAATTTATACCTTTTTGCTCACAAGCAGAGAATCTTAGTTTTGGCTAACCTATGAGGATCCCTGTTTCTATCAGGCTTTTTGAAAAACTGAAGTTAATTTGTTGATGATCAGGTTCAAGCTGGGGAGATCAGCAAGGCTCAAACAGAAATTTCAACCAAGGATCCTAGCAAATGCAGCAACATATAGCAGGCCTGTTTGTTTCCCACCACGTGAATTCTCTAGTATGTCCTTGTCTGACTATTGGGTGATAGTAACTCACCAAAGGACAATGTCATTTCTTTTATTTTTGAGACAGAGTTTCGCTCTTGTTGCCCAGGCTGGAGTGCAATGGCACAATCTCGGCTCACTGCAACCTCCGCCTCCTGGGTTCAAGAGATTCTCCTGCCTCAGCCTCCTGAGTAGCTGAGATTACAGGCATGCACCTCCATGCCTGGCTAATTTTCTATTTTTAGTAGAGACGGGTTTCTCCATGTTAGGCTGGTCTCGAACTCCCGATCTCAGGTGATCCATCCTCCTCAGCTTCCCAAAGTGCTGGGATTACAGGCGTGAGCCACCATGCCCAGTGACAATGTCATTTTATTGCTAGTCACCAACATCAGATAACTCAGCTTTTCAAATGACCAGTGATACTAAGACCACCCCACAGAAGGGTGTGATTTCAGCCACTGTGGCCTAAGCAAATGCCTATGTGCACGTGCACAAGTGAGACGGAGAGAGAGGAGGCAAGAGGCACACTTTTTACACAATTCTCTAGTTTATTTGTCCAAAATAAATACAACCTGAGAACATCCATTTCAATGTCCCCAAACACTATTTATCCCTTGAAAAAGCAGCTTAAAATATGGGTGCACATTTTGCAGCTTATGTTCTTCAGTTAGGCTCTGAAGGGTGTTTGTTCTGGGCTGGGCTAGGCTGGGCCTACCCGTGGAGACATACCTAAGTTCCGTTCTCTGTTTGGAGGCTGTACCCAGCCTGAGTCCCCCCCAGGTCCCCTCCGAAAGCCCTGACGCTGCTTCCAGAGCACCTGTCTTCATTGCCGCTCCCTTCTGCAGCCCGAAAGGAGGGATGTTCACAACTCTGCAGCTCTGTGTCCAGCCCTTGCAGGGAGCTTTGTCCTCTAACACCAGCTACCACACAGGCTCTTTCTCAACTGGCACAGAAAGGGTTACTTCTGACCCTGAAGCAACTCACCCAGGGCAAACTGAAGCACAGCTGGTACATGGATTTAAAGCACTCTCCCTTTAACCCTGCCAGGAGGCTGAGAGCCCCTAAAAAATACAGAAGGGGACACTGCCCGCCTCCTCCAGTTATTCCCTGGGGCCCTGGCCCACTAGGGAGCAGGAGGACAGGGAGGCCACCCTTTGTCTTCTCTTTGCAGGTGAGGCTCAGAGGTTTGGGTCCACGTTCTCCTGGTCTGAGGCTGCCTCATCATCATCTGGGGACTCCTGGATCAGAGCCAGAGAAGCCCAGTCATGGGCTTGTGCTGTTCCCCAGGGCCATAACCTGGGGGCCAGCATCTCTTTCCTCTTGCCCTCACCCCCAAAGGAGCCAGTAGAGGGCTCTCCTGCCCCCACCCCAGGTCCCACTGGGCCCTCCCTCTGTCCTAGCTCCCACCCCACCTATGGCCACAGCCCACCATTAGATGACTCCCTCTCACCAGACTGAGGCCCCTGCCCCGCTGCAGGGTGGCATAGAAGTGGAGCACTCGGGGGTCACAGCGAACCGCCACAGGGTCAAAGTCCAGCACACGTAGGCCCTGCAGGCTACGGGCCCGGGAAAGGGCCACGTAGGCCTGGCCACTGGCAAACACACGGCCCAGAGAAATCTCCACACAATCCAGGGTCATGCCCTGGGGGATGCAGGGACAGAGAGGGAGCCAGCTCAGCCTGAAGTCCCTTGCCCTGAAGGGCCTGACTCTTTACCAGCCCTGCTACTGCCCCTGGATCTCCTTGTCCAGTCCAGAGAGTCTCTAGACAGAGGGAGAGCATGACAGCAGGTGGCGGTCTGAGTAGGAGGGGAACTGGGGGACACAGATCCAGGTAAGAGTTGAGGGATGGAGTGAAAGAAAAGAGCTCAGGCTCTGGGTCAGACAGGCGTGGAGCTGAATCCAGGCTGCCACTCACTAACTGTGTGACATGGGACATGTTCCTTAACCTCTCTGAGTTCTGGTTTTTTTCTGTGCAAAACAGTATTGATTATTCATTATATCTATACTTTATACAATGGTTGTATACAATTTATACAATTTAATGTATCTAGTAGTGGCTTAGAAAATGGTGGAGGGGGCCGGGCGCGGTGGCTCAAGCCTGTAATCCCAGCACTTTGGGAGGCCGAGGCGGGCGGATCACGAGGTCAGGAGATCGAGACCATCCTGGCTGACACGGTGAAACCCCGTCTCTACTAAGAAATACAAAAAAAAACTAGCCGGGCGAGGTGGCGGGCGCCTGTAGTCCCAGCTACTGGGGAGGCTGAGGCAGGAGAATGGCGTGAACCCGGGAGGCGGAGCTTGCAGTGAGCTGAGATCCGGCCACTGCACTCCAGCCTGGGCGGCAGAGCGAGACTCCGTCTCAAAAAAAAAAAAAAAAAAAAAAGGCCGGGCGCGGTGGCTCAAGCCTGTAATCCCAGCACCGAGACGGGTGGATCACGAGGTCAGGAGATCGAGACCATCCTGGCTAACCTGGTGAAACCCCGTCTCTACTAAAAAATACAAAAAACTAGCCGGGCGAGGTGGCGGGCGCCTGTAGTCCCAGCTACTCGGGAGGCTGAGGCAGGAGAATGGCGTAAACCCGGGAGGCGGAGCTTGCAGTGAGCTGAGATCCGGCCACTGCACTCCAGCCCGGGTGACAAAGCGAGAGACTCCGTCTCAAAAAAAAAAAAAAAAGAAAAGAAAATGGTGGGGGGAAAAAAAAAAAAGGGCCGGGTGCAGTTGCTCACGCCTGTAATCCCAGCACTTTGGGAGACCGAGGCGGGCGGATCACAAGGTCAGGAGATCGAGACCATCCTGGCTAACAAGGTGAAACCTCATCTTTACTAAAAATACAAAAATTAGTCAGGCATGGTGGTACGTGCCTGTAGTCCCAGCTACTCAGGAAGCTGAGGCAGGAGAATCGCTTGAACTCGGGAGGCGGAGGTTGCAGTGAGCCAAGATCACGCCACTGCACTCCAACCTGGGCGACAGAGCAAGACTCCGTCTCAAAAAAAAAAAAAAAAAAGACACATAGACCCCAACATGCCTGACCTCCCTCTGCCTGCCCTGTCCCCACCCCCCACACTGGTGCTCACTTGGCTCTTGTGGATGGACATCGCCCAGGCCAGCTGGAGGGGCAGCTGCTGCCGGCTGAGGAGCTGGTTCCTGGTGGCCTGCACCGTCCAGCGGTCAGCGCGGATGACCTCAGTGACTCCACACAGGAACCGCACCTGGGGTAGCCCTAAGGAGGGCATGAAGCAGTCTAACTTTAGCTCTGCTTCAGGGCTCTGAGGTGAGGAGCAGGGGGGCCTTTGAAGCTTTCCTTCCTAGTCTTTTTCTCCCCCCACCATTCTGGGGGCCATGCTGCAAACCCTGTAATAGGACTGCCACCTGCTCCCAACACTTACCTCTCCCTTCTGCCTCGAACCCGACTACCACCCCTCGGGCGCCATTCACCAGGCCCCGAGACACCGATAAGTTTTTCACCAGCATCACCTGCAAGGGAGGGAGAGGAATGGACAGCAGCCCCCCTACCCATGCCTGGTCTTAGCTTAGCCATTGCTGTTCTCAGAGGCTGAGGGCAGGGAGTTGCCGTGGGGACACTGAATCCCAATCCTTAGCTCTGCCACTGGCTGCCTGTGACCCCTGCGGCAAGTTGCCTTATTTTCCTCGGTCCCAGTTTTCCTTTATGTCAAAGAGGAATAATATTTGCTCCATTTGCCCCAGAAGGAGGTGGTAAGGGATCAGTAAGGCAACCTCTATTACAGGGCTTTGAAAATATCAGCTCTGTTATAGGTACATGTGTGGACCACAAATCTTGAGGGATGGCCTCTAGGTCCTGCCACCCCTCTCAGATACACTGTGCCTGTATTTTCCCCTTGGGTGCCCTAAGGAAAATCTTCTGCCCACCCCTAACATCTGGGGAGGAATCAGGACTCTCTCCTATTTATAAAGTATACTACAGAAGACAGCTGTGTGGGGTAGGTATTTCATTCCCCAGTTTTAGGGATGAGGGGACAGAGCTTCAGGGGAAAGAAACTTGCCCAAAACAACACTGCTTGGAGGACCTCCTGGTGTAGGTAGAGAAAAACAGTAGAAAGCTGAAGATGGGAAGCTGGGTGGGAACAGAAGGCAGGGAGGTTTTCAGTGTGGTCAAAGCTGGACCCACTGGCTGTAGAGTGGCCTGGGCAGAGGGGTAGGGATCAGCAAAGCCCATGAGGGACAGCCGAAGCTCCCAGGGGCTAGGTCCTGCTTCCCACTCACCTGGGCCCCCAGCTTTAGTTGAAGGAGCTGGCTAACGGGACACTGGGCATCCAGGATACTGGCCAGCTCAGGGTTGCTGTCTATAGCCTCAAATCTGTGTACCTTACCTGGAGAAAAAGAGTTGCACAAGCAGATCACAAATCACTGACTTGTGACTCAGTATCCCAAAAAAGACTTTTTTTTTTTTTTTTTTTTTTTGAGATGGAGTTTCGCTCTGTCGCCCAGGCTGGAGTATAATCGCGCGATCTTGGCCTACTGCAACCTCTGCCTCCTGGGTTCGAGCAATTCTCCTGCCTCAGCCTCCTGAGTAGCTGGGATTACAGGCGCCCACTAACACACCTAGCTAATGTTTTTGTATTTTTAGTAGAGACGGGGTTTTTCCATGTTGGGCAGGCTGGTCTTGAACACCTGACTTCAGGTCATCTGCCTGCCTTGGCTTCCCAAAGTGCTGGGATTACAGGTGTGAGCCACTGTGCCCAGCCTCCAGAAAAAAACTGTTAGACCAGAGCATAGGGGTAAGGAGTAGAGGCAGCGCAGGCCTGGGGGGCTGTGGAATTTAGTTCATCATACCTCTCAAAGTCACAGTTGCATTTGCAAATATAAGGATCTTTATGACTACAGAGGTTGGGGGCCTAGGACCCAGAGGCCCTGGTTGCCTGGGGGCCACATCTGCTTATAACCCTTCCCAGCTGGTCTTGCCCAGCCCAGGCTCCCTGCTCACCTGGCAGCTCCTGAAGCCGCCTCTCGTTGGTGAGGGCCACGTCATCCTGGTGGGTGCAGAGCCTCGTGGCCACAATCCCATCTCTCCCTACCTTGTGGGAAGCTGTGGCCTGGAGCTGGCGGGTCACCTCATCTGAACACCTGTGGGGGCTGGACTGTCAGGGCAGAGCCCACCTGTGCAGCAGGGAAGGTGGGAACATGGGCAGGATGGCTCAAGCAGCAGGCCATGGGTCAGGCCTTGGGACTGGAAGAGGGCACCAGGGAATAGTTGCTGCCCCCTCAAGCTGGCCAACCTGTCCCTTCCAAACTTGGACGCCAAACATGGGGAATAAGCAGGGGCAGGGTACTGAGCTTTGATCACAGGTAGGCACCCTTCCCTGTGCTGCCCCAGGTCAGAGCTGGCCACCATCCTACCCCATAATGCTCCTGAGGAAGTTGGCTATGATGAGTGAGCACAGGCAGGAGATTTGCAGGACCCAGACTGGCCTCCAGGATACAATCTTCTGTCTACTTGCCTGCTACCTTGGGTGAAAAATCTAGCTTATGTTTCTTTCTTCTTTTTTTTTTTTGAGACGAGTCTCGCTCTGTCACCAGACTGCAGTGCAGTGGCGTGATCTCAGCTCACTGCAACCTCCACCTCCTGGGTTTAAGTGATTCTCCTGCCTCAGCCTCCCAAGTAGCTGGGGCTACAGGCGCGTGCCACCACACCCAGCTAATTTTTGTATTTTTAGTAGATACTAGGTTTCACCAGGTTGGCCAGGTTGGTCTCAAACTCCTGACCTCGTGATCTACCTGCCTCCCAAAGTGCTAGGATTACAGGTGTGAACCACTGCGCCCACCCCCTGACACCTACTTAATGCCAGGCCTTGTGCTAGGTGATGGAGACCCAACCCTGAGGGAGGCTGGGTCCCGGCACTCACAGAGCGACCATCTCCTATGGGGCCATGAAGGTCTTGACTACAATCCATCCTGAGTTGCCCAGTGCCATGCCCAAGGCTGCTCTTCCTGCATGGAGTGCTTGCTCCTCAGGGTAACCATTCTCCCCTTTCCCTGGGTCCCTCCCTGTGTTCCACTGTGGCCCATGCCTGGATCCTCATCCCATAGCCCCTTCCCCATCCAGCAGAGCTCACCTGCCCAGCCTCACGGCCTGCAGTAGAGAGATGAAGGTCTGATCTGCCTGCCTCCACACCTTGGTCAGCTCCAGGGTCACTGGCACACACCTCTTCCAGCTCTTGGCCTGATGGAAGCAGGGTGGGGGTGGGTCAAGGAGCAGAGCAGACCCCTAAGGAGAGCAGAGCTAGGAGGTGAGTAGTACCTGGAAGCAGAACCGTGGGGGCTGGAAGCCCTTGGTCACAGGTGGCAGCTGCAGAAAGTCCCCACAGATGATGAGCTGGATCCCTCCAAATGGCTTGTTCTGCTGCCGGACAGCTCTGGAGAGGAGCATGGGATGCTTTAGGGGCACACAGAAGACCACCAGGTCCCAGTTTTCACCTGCTGCCCTCTGAACATACTGACCTGGCCACGGCCTCCAGTTTGTCAAACAGGTCTGCCTCCACCATTGAGATCTCGTCAATGACCAACCGCTGGCAGTTCAGCCAGCCCTGCCGCACGCCTGGCCTTTGGGCCAGGGCCACACACTGGGCTAGAGGAGCCTGGCCTGAGCCGATGCCTGTGAGTGACACTATTTAGCCTGGGCTAATACCCAAACCCTCTCTCTCTCTCTCTCTTTTTTTTTTTTTTTTGCGAGAAGGTCTCTCTCTGTTGCCCAGCCTGAAGTGCAGTGGCATGATCTTGGCTCACTATAACCTTGGCCTCATGGGCTCAAGCAATCCTCCCACCTCAACCTCCATAGCAGCTGGGGCTACAGGCACACACCACCATGTTCAGCTAATTTTTTTTTTTTGAGACAGAGTGTAACTCTGTCACCCAGGCTCGAGTGCAGTGGCACGATCTTGGCTCACTGCAAGCTCTGCCTCCTGCGTTCACGCTATTCTCTTGCCTCAGCCTCCAGAGTAGCTGGGACTACAGGCACTTGCCACCATGCCTGGCTAATTTTTTTGTATTTTTAGTAGAGATGGGGTTTCACCATGTTAAACAGGATGGTCTCGATCTCCTGACCTTGTGATCCACCCGCCTCGGCCTCCCAAAGTGCTGGGATTACAGGCATGAGCCACTGCGCCCGGCCGCTAATTTTTAAATTTTGTGGAGACAGGGTCTCACTCTGTTGGCCAGGCTGGTCTCAAACTCCTGGGCTCAAGCGATCCTCCCACCTTGGCCTCTTGAAGTTCTGGGATTACAGGCATGAGCCACCATGCCCAGCCTCCAAAACCCCCTCTTAATGCAGACTTCCCCTCTCTCCCTTCCCAGGAGCTGGGCTTGCTCTTAGCTCAAGCCCTAGGGGTTCCCACTTACCTGCAAAGGCATGGAGGGTGGTGCCCCCGATGTGGCAGGCTGCCACCCCAGTGCTGGCAGTGGCCACAGTGCCTGTGGGGGGCAGTGAACCCAGGACTCGCTTCAGCAGATATGACTTCCCTGTTCCTGGACGGGGCAAAGTTAGACAGGTCTCCCTGTTCCTCTATCCCACCCCACCACTGTCCCCCTACCTCCTCTCTGCCCCCACTACCTGCACTCCCAGTGAAGAAGATGCTCTGGCCTTTCAGGACGGCCCTCAGCACAGCAGCTTGTTCTTCAGAAAGCTGTGGCTTGGTGGAGGGCAAGCTCAGCCTCTTCACAGGCAGGGGCCACCTTGGGGCTTCCTGGGGGAATAGAGCTATCTCAGAACATCCTCCCACCCACTAGCCATTGCCCCCACCCTTCTTGGCCCACGTTCAGGGCTGGGCCTGGTAACCCTTTGTCCTCTGCTGCCTTCATTCCTTGGAGCTCTTGGGTTCCCCTGGAAAGCTTGCCAGCAACTATTGGAGTCTCTATCTCTCCTTGTGCCCTGAAGACCCCCATTGTCTAGTCCTGGACAGACCACCCCAGTGGGGTCCAGACCCTCCCTCAGCTCCTTCCTCTGGGTTCCCTAATCCTTCTCATCCTGTCACCTAAGTTTCTCTTCCTATCACAAACCTGTTTCTCACATCAAAACACCCAAGCAAAATCTGCCTAGCCAGGGCCCCTTCTTGTCCTATCTCTGTCCTCTTGCCAGCTTAGTGTCAAACCCTGGTGGTCTATGATTCACCTGCCCCAGCCCACAAAAATTGTCAAACCCACCAGACTTTGCTCCCCTCATCTGCTTCAACTGTTGGCTGCCCAGGACACGAATGACCACTTCATTGTCTCCATAAGCTCCTCTCCTCTGGGCCTAGGGACCCTCTCCCAGCATTCCTTCTGGAGTCTCCTTTCCAAGCCTTCTCTGTTTTTTTTCCTCTCTCTCCCTTTTTTTTTTTTTGAGACAGAGTCTCGCTCTGTCGCCCAGGTCGGAGTGCAGTGGCCGGATCTCAGCTCACTGCAAGCTCCGCCTCCCGGGTTTACGCCATTCTCCTGCCTCAGCCTCCCGAATAGCTGGGACTACAGGGGCCCGCCACCTCGCCCAGCTAGTTTTTTGTATGTTTTTAGTAGAGACGGGGTTTCACCGTGTTAGCCAGGATGGTCTCGATCTCCTGACCTCGTGATCTGCCCATCTCAGCCTCCCAAAGTGCTGGGATTACAGGCTTGAGCCACCGTGCCCGCCTTGTTTTTTTGTTTTTGTTTCTGTTTTGTTTTGTTTTGTTTTTGAGGAAGAGTCTTGCTCTGTCGCCCAGGCTGGAGTGCAGTGGCGCGATCTAGGCTCATTGCAATCTCTGCCTCCCGGGTTCAAGCTATTCTCCTGCCTCAGCCTCCCAAGTAGCTGAGATTACAGGCGCCCGCCACCACTCCTGGCTAATTTTTGTATTTTTAGTAGAGACGAGGTTTCACTATGTTGGCCAGGCTGGCCTCAGAACTCCTAACCTTTGGTGATCCGCCCACTTTAGCCTCCCAAAGTGTTGGGATTACAGGCGTGAGCCACCACGCCTGGCCTCTGCTTTCTCTTCTAATTTAGCCAGGTCCCATTTCCTGTTTTGACTTACACCATCTCGGGTTATACTATAACGACCACAGGCACAATTCCCACACCACTGTCATACTCAGATGTCAGATGCGTATCTGAGATAACCAGCAGCGCCCTCAAATACCCACACAGGTTTTCCCCCAAACTTGGGTCTCTAGGTCTCTTATATCTTAAAAGAATGGCACATCCACTCCTAAAGGTGTCCCCTCTTTCCCGTCCTCACTGTGCTAGGCTCGGTCCCAGTCTGGGGCTCCGCAGGCCGCTTCACCAGCGTAGTGTCCGGAACCCGGGTGGCCGCCCCGAGCCGCCGCTCCTCGGGCTGCACAGGGCTGATGGTGACGAAGTCGTGGGGCCTTGGGCCCAGCAGCTGCGCTCTGGCGGAGGCCGGCCCGGGACCCGGGGCCGCAGCCAGCTTGAGGCGCAATGTGCGCAGGAAGCGGCGCAGGCGGTCTGGGGGGCAGTCCGAGAGCAGCAGCTGCACTGCGCCGGCCCCAGGGACGCCGTGGGCCGGGAGCCGCAGGGTGCTGCGCCCGGCCCCGGCGAAACGCGTGAAGAGGCGCGCGGCGCGCAGAGGGAAGCAGCGCGGCCGCCCCGCGGGCCCTGGCGCTTGTAGTCGCAGCATCAACTCGCGGCGCTCGTTGCGACCCAGGCTCAGCTCCGCGGTGCGCAGGGCCTGGCGCCTTCGCGGCTGCCCGCCCGGGCTCAGCTCCTCCACAGCCACGCGGCACCGCAGCTCCGAGTCCTCGTATTCCCCTGCCGCCGTCTCCATGCCCGACAGCATCGCCACCGCCTCTGCAGGTCTGCGAAGACACCGGAGCACAGTGGTCCTGAGGATTCAGGGGACGTAATGGATGCTATAGGGAACGTAATGGATGCTATAAAGGACGCAACAGGGAGCAAGGTCAAGGCCACACAGGATCACGAGGACTGTCACTGGTAACACGAGGAGGTCACAGAGACGGAGAAAGGGCTTTGGGCTAACCGAAAATCCACTCTTAGAATGTACGCTGGGCCGGGCGCTGTGGCTCACGCTTGTAATCCCAGCACTTTGGGACGCTAAAGTGGGCGGATCACCTGAGGTTAGGAGCTCTGAGACCAGCTTGGCCAACACGGTGAAACCTCGTCTCTACTAAAAATACAAAAATTAGCCGGGTGTGGTGGCGGGCGCTTTGGGAGCACTTTGGGAGGCTGAGGAAGATAGCTTGAGCCCAGGAGCTGGAGACCATCCTGGGCAACATAGTGAATTAAAAAACATACATACATATAAAGACATATATATGCATACATTATACATATGTGTGTGTATATATATACACACACACGCACCCTGCTACACAATTTCTATTTCCATATATACAATATATATACACACACAATTTCTATATAGATATACACACACAACAATATATACAATTTGTATATACACACACACGCACCCTGCTCTACAACAATTTCTAGAGCGGGGGATGGGCACCCAGGATTAGGGAGCCTCAGGTGTCCTGCAAGGACCTCACTAGAAGGGGGTCCCTGCACAGAAAGAATCCTTCCCTGAGACCCAGGGCCAGCATAGGAATCCTCAGAGTCCTCTCCCCAGGAAGCAGCAGAATCGCCCGTGGGGAGATGCAAAGAGGGTTGCCGTGTAATAAGCGCCTTCTGCCTTGCAGGTAACATTCACTGGCTTATATGCAGCGGGCAGGTCTCACTATTCCCCGTGTACAGACGTGGAAACAGGCTGGGAGAGGGAAACTCACTTGCCCTTCATAAGCCACAGCGGCTGGTAGTCAAAGTCAGAGTGCCCTCACGCTTCTCACCAGCAAGGTGGAGACGAGGTGGAAAATACTCGGCTAGGGAAATCGCAGGGGACCCTGGGACCGTGGAATCCATGCTCCCTCCGCCTGACCCACTTGTCTGCACCTCCCGGCGGGAACCCCTAGATGAATCAGGCTCTTTGCTCCCCACCTCTGGGTTTGGGCAGACACTCACTTGCGCCGACACTCATATGAACAAGCAGATCTATGGCGAAGCTCCGAAACTAGAAATTTTTCAAATGCTAGAGGCAGAAAATCACCCAATCACCGACTGGATCTTTAAATTCTCCAGCCAATCAGAGGTAGAGGCGTAACAATGGGTGTGTCTGCGTTTCTACTCCCAGAGCTTGGGCTGTACCAATCGCCTGCCAGAGGAAGGAGGTTTATGGTGGTGGCCGAGCGACCAAATCCAGGGGACTGCTGGGTGTGGTGCGAGGAGGCCGCGGCGGCGGCAGCCACTGGGCCGCGCGTGGTGTCGGGTTTGAAAACCCTAAGCGACTCCGAAGAATTATTTTCAGAACCATCCTTCCAGTACACTCCCTTTCCCCTCTAGCCCGCACACAGAGGCTGGGCTTGGCCTTGGGAAGGACCTGCCTGTGGTCCCTCACACTCCTGTTTACGCTCACAGTACCATTGTTCAGTTCTGGGCAGAACACCCCAAGGCCTGCCCAGTCCCTCCGCCGCCCCCAACTCTACATTCTTCTCTGCCTTTTTAAAGGGCATTTTACGCTTTGGCTTTCCCACCCAGCTGAAGCCCATGAGTGAGAAACTCTGAGACCTGTGCCACGTCCTAAAGGGTACAGCGGAAGCGAGTAGAGTCTCTGTCTTCAGGGAAATTTTATCCCTCTTCTTGCACAGGATGTTGAAAGAATTTACTTTTAATTATCTTTATTATGTCATTGAAGCTTGGAATTACATAGCTGGAAAGGATCTTACAGGTGAGTCTGGCTACCTCATTTTACAGATAATGATAGCTACCAAGGATTAAATTGCTCTCTCCTTTCCTTTTTCCTTTCTAGGGCTCACTCTGTCACCCAGGCTGTAGTGGAGTACAGTGGCGAAATCTCGGCTTACTGCAACCTCTGCCGTGGCGCGGTCGTGACTCACTGCCCTCGGCCTCCTGGGCTCTGGTGATCCTCCCGCCTCACCCCCCCAAGTAGCTGGAACTACAGACGCACACTCGGCTACTTTATATATATATATATATGATGTCACCATGTTTCCCAGGCTGCTGATCTCGAACTCCGGAGGTCAAACGATCCACCCACCTTGTCCTCCCAAAGTCCTAGGTTTACAGGAATGAGCCACCGCACCCGGACTTCATATTTCAAATAAGGAAAAAGCAAGGCTCCCAGAGATTTTACTGAAGGTCACATAGCTGATATAGAGAGTAAAACCAAACATTGAACCCAGATTACCTGCTGGCTTAATCACTCCACGGGGCTTAGCTACTACATACGCTACACTGCTCCCAGGCTGTTAGCGGTACAGGGTGGTGACTGAAAGTTGTCTAGGTTCTTGGCGTCTTGAACAAAGAATTGGACAAAATGCCCATCAAAGCAAAGAGAGAATGAAGCAACAAAATAACAAAAGCAGGGATTTTTTGAAAACGAAAGTACCGGCCGGGCGCGGTGGCTCAAGCCTGTAATCCCAGCACTTTGGGAGGCCGAGACGGGCGGATCACGAGGTCAGGAGATCGAGACCATCCTGGCTGACACAGTGAAACCCCGTCTCTACTAAAAAAATACAAAAAAAAAAAAAAAAAAAAACTAGCCGGGCGAGGTGGCGGGCGCCTGTAGTCCCAGCTACTCGGGAGGCTGAGGCAGGAGAATGGCGTGAACCTGGGAGGCGGAGCTTGCAGTGAGCCAAGATCACGCCACTGCACTCCAGCCTGGGCGGCAGAGCGAGACTCTGTCTCAAAAAAAAAAAAAAAAAAAAGAAAAGAAAACGAAAGTACCACCAGGCGCGGTGGCTCACGCCTGTAATCCCAGCACTTTGAGAGGCCAAGATGGGGGGATCACTTGAGGTCAGCAGTTCCAGACCACCCTCACCAACATGGTGAAACCCTGTCTCTACTAAAAATACAAAAATTGCCGGGTGTCGTGGTGGGCACCTATAATCCCAGCTGCTTGGAAGGCTGAGGCATGAGAATCACTTGAACCCAGGAGGCAGAAGTTGCAGTGAGCCTTGATCGTGCCACGGCACTCCAGCCTGGGCGACAGAGCGAGAACTTGTCTCAAAACAAACAACAACAAAAAATCAAAAACGAAAGTACACTCCACAGTGTGGGAGGGGACCTGAGATACAGAATTTTCTTGGGTTCAAATACCCGCTGGAAGTTTCCCATTGGCAACTTTATGCTTACTTCATGTAACTGAAGTGGTAGCCACAATCAGTCTGATTGGTTGCAGACAGCAACCATTCAGAGGCCAGAGTGAAGTCACAAAGTTGCAAACAAAGACTGGACCCACACTCAGTATGATTTGTTGCAGACAGCCAATCTCCCATCTGTCATGTAGGAAAGGTCAAAGGGAGTAGCCTTTGGTTCTTTTGTTACTCAGGCAAGGAAAGTTAGGGTTTTCCTTTTTTTTTTTTTTTTTGAGAGATGGACTCTCACTCTGTGCTCTGTCACCCAGGCCAGAGTGTAGTGGCGGGATCTCGGCTCACTGCAACCTCTGCCTCCTGGGTTCAAGCGATTTTTCTGCCTCAACTTCCCAAGTAGCTGGGACTACAGGTGTGTGCCACCAGCCCATTTAGTTTTTGTATATTTAGTAGAGATGGGGTTTCACCATATTGGCCAGGCTGTTCTCTTGAACTGACCTCGTGATCCACCTGCCTCGGCCTCCCAAAGTGCTGGAATTACAGGCGTGAGCCACCGTGTCCAGCCAGGGTATTCTTTTTCTTTTCTTTTCTTTTTTTTTGAGATGGAGCCTCCATCTGTCACCAGGCTGGAGTGTAGTGGTGCTATCTTGGCTCACTGCAACCTCTGCCTCCCCCATTCAAGTGATTCTCCTGCCTCAGCCTCCCAAGTAGCTAGGACTACAGGTGCATGCCACCATACCCAACTAATTTTTGTATATTTAATAGAGATGGGGTTTCAACATGTTGGCCTGGATGGTCTCGATCTCTTGACCTCATGATCTGCCTGCCTAGGCCTCCCAAAGTGATGGGATTACAGGTGTGAGCCACTGTGCCCAGCCGGGTTTTCCTTTTAATTTAGTTCTAGGAAGTCGGCGTGAAACAGCCTTGGGTTCTCTGCCTTCAGACCCTATTCTTCTGCCTCAAGGTGACTGGCCTAGCTTCATGAAAGCTATAACCTGGACTAGAATGTCAGCTAATAACAGCCACTGCAATGCCTTTCCAGTGGATGCTACCCTAAGCAGGTTTCCATGTCTCAAGCCTCTGTTTTCTCAAAATGGGAGAAACATAAAAATATTCTAAAATTGATTGGTGATAGTTGCACAACCCCATGACTATACTAAAAGCCATTGAATCAAATGCTTTGAATGCTTAGATTGTATGGTATGTGAATTATATCTCCATAAATCTTTTAGAAATCTTTTTTTTTTTTTGAGACAGGTTGTCACTCTGCCACCCAGGCTGGAGTACAGTGGCACAGTCACAGCTCATGGCAGCCTTGACCTTCCTGCTCAAGCGATCCTCCCATCTCAGCCTCCCAAGTGGTTGGAACTACAGGTGACTGCCACCATGCCTAGCAAATTTTTGTATATTTTATAGAGACTAGGGTCTCACCATGTTGCCCAGGCTAGTCTTAAACTCCTGGGCTCAAGAGATCTGCCAGCCTCAGCCTCCCAGAGTGCTGGGATTACAGGCGTGTGCCACCATACCTGGCTGGAAAGAAATCTTGGGAGATATTTTTCTTCTTCAGTGTTGTCTTGACATACATTGAATATCAGTGGCATGCGTCATTGTATATGAGTAAATGAGCAGGTTAAGAAAAATTTTTGGCTGGGTGTGGTGGCTCACGCCTGTAATCCCACCACTTTGGGAAGCTGAGGCAGGTGGATCACGAGGTCAGGAGTTCAAGACCATCCTGGCCAAGATGGTGAAACCCCATCTTTACTAAAAATACAAAAATTAGCCGGGTGTGGTGGCAGGTGCCTGTAATCCCAGCTACTCGGGAGTCTGAGGCAAGAGAATCACTTGAACTCAGGAAACAGAGGTTGCAGTGAGCCGAGATTGCACCACTGCACTCCAGCCTGGGCGACAGCAAGACTCCATCTCAAAAAAAAAAGAGAGAAAAAT